AAACAAAAACACATTTTACTTCAGTCGAGAACTCAAATATTTTTAATTTATTATCATCCAAGACAAAGACCGGGAACACGCTTCATTTATTTTTGCTTGAAGTTTTTGCTTCACATCTCACAAATAACAATAGTTATTTGTGAGATGTGAATTTTGACCGGCGCAGGTTAAGGAATGCAGGGCTTCAAACGCTTTTGTGTCAAACTGAATCCCTGCACCTGTGTGGCAGGAGCTGAGTGAGAACCAGTCAACACCAAAAAAAGAGAAGCAGGAGTGGCTGTCCAAGCAGAAAGAGAACATCCAACACTTCCAGGTGAGGATCACTCAATATGTACCCTTCAAAGAACAAGTGAGATTTTTACCTAAATTTGGTCATCAATGTGCACTGTTACTCGCCTGCCCCACAAAGCTTTATTTGCCGAGTCTCTTTGATTTTTTATTTATTTATTTTTTTTGGCAGTATGAGTTCTATGGTTATTTATTACAAAACCATAATATGTTTATTTCCAGGCTGAGGAGGAGGCTAACCTGCTGAGGAGACAGAGGCAGTATCTGGAGCTGGAGTGTAGGCGGTTCAAACGCAGGATCCTCATCGCCAGACACAATGTGGAGCAGGACCTGGCCAGAGAGGTGTGGAGAGAAACGGGAGAAACAGATACCCAGGAGCACAGTCTCACTTTATATCACAGTTTTATGATACGTATTTGAGTTTTTGTTTGTTTGTTTAGGAGCTGAACAAACGTCAAACGCAGAAGGATCTGGAGCATGCAATGCTGCTGAGGCATCACGAGTCCATGCAGGAGCTGGAGTTCAGGCATCTGGCTACAATCCAGAAGGCCCGGGCAGAGCTGATACGCACCCAGCACCAGACAGAGCTCACTAACCAGCTGGAGTACAATAAGAGGAGGGAGAGGGAGCTGAGGCGCAAGCATGTCATGGAGGTCCGGCAGCAGCCCAAAAGCCTGAAGGTACACAGAAAGATGGGGACTGTTTCTTTTTCCTTTAACAAATCATTTACTACCAACACTTAACTGGAATTAATCCCATCTCATTCAACTTTTATTTTTCCCCTTTAGTCTAAGGAGCTTCAGATTAAGAAGCAGTTTCAGGAGACCTGCAAAACGCAGACTCGGCAGTACAAGGCCCTCAGGAACCATCTGCTCGAGACAACACCCAAGTCCGACCACAAGGCTGTCCTAAAGAGGCTGAAGGAGGAGCAGACTAGGAAGCTGGCCATCCTTGCTGAGCAGTATGACCACTCCATCAATGAAATGCTCTCCACACAGGCTGTAAGTTTCATAAAGGAAGATCTGCAACATTTATCAAACATAAGTCATTTCTGAGCAACATAGTGAGCATGTAGCTATAGATTATTCAAAGCTAATTTGTTTAATATATTTGTGAAGGGCATCTTTAATGTTTTCTTAATGCATAACAGCCACAGAAGAACCCGTTTATGTAGGTCTGTTTCTTTGCTCCCTCCCTTAGCTGCGGTTGGATGAAGCTCAGGAGGCGGAGTGTCAGGTGCTGAGGATGCAGTTGCAGCAGGAGCTTGAGCTGCTCAATGCTTACCAGAGCAAAATCAAGATGCAGACAGACGCACAGCACGACAAGGAGAGAAGGGAGCTGGAGCAGAGGGTGTCTCTGCGGCGGGCTCTGCTGGAGCAGAAAGTAAGAATGGCCTTTGTCTAATGTCGGGATGTGGGTGAGTGCATGTTGGGAAGTGACAGGACTGCGGTGCTCTTTTCATATCACTAGTTTACCTCTGCATTTATATGCACCAATTCTCTGTAGGTGTTGCACATACAGTTTGTTTTATCTTTAGTACGCTGGGATTGTTCATACGTTTGGCCAGTAATACAAACAATGTAGTTGCCTGTTTTTTCTCCGGTGTCAAATTGTGTTTATGTCCCCAGATCGAGGAGGAAATGCTTTCCCTGCAAAACGAGCGTCTGGAGCGAATCCGCTCACTGCTGGAGCGCCAGGCCCGAGAGATTGAGGCTTTTGACTCGGAGTCCATGCGACTGGGCTTCAGCAACATGGTGCTCACTAACCTGGCTCCCGATTCTCAGGGAGGCTGGGGAGGAGGAGGAGGCCAGGGGGCTCAGGGGGGAGGCCACTGGCCGGGAGGAGGTGGAGGAAGCAGTCACCATAGTCATCACCAGGGGGGCTCCAGCTCACAGCAGTCCTGGGGTCACCCCATGCTGGCTGGGGGCCCACCACCCTGGAGCCTCCACCACCCTGGTGGGGGTAGTCAGAGGGGTAGCCAAGGAGGTGCAGGAGGGGTGAGGAACAGCCCGCAGGCTATGAGGAGGACGTCATCAGGGGGGAGGAGTGAACAGGGCATGAGCAGGAGCGCCAGCATCACCTCTCAGATCTCCAATGGATCCCACCTGTCATACACCTAAAATACACACGCACACACAAATTGTCTTAAAGCTAATATCTCGCTCCGAGATAACTGTACACAGACACACATCACGCACATACCACAGTACATCTCGCACTGCACAGTACTGAGGCTGGGTTTACCTGAGCCCAGCCGCTCTCCTGTCACCACTGCTCTACATCAGTGTACTGCTAGCAGCAGTCTGTGGAAACCCAGAAGACTTGAGACTAATAAGATACCCGAGGGCCATTTACAGTAGTGCAATAGTAGTTTTCTTGTTGTTTTTTGTTTTTTTTACTGCAGCATACACTGCTGTGTGTGTTTGTTACTGCCGTATTAGTCTCTGTTGCCACAATCCCAAACTAGTGTGTTAATTTTCTATTGAGTGGTTTGTTTGCCATCTTCTGTTTCGCAGTTTTCTGTTTTAAACCCAAGTGGGACCGATTGTGCACAAAGGTGCTGAGCTTGTCCTTCAAACCAGATTTAAACTGATGAAAAGTTAAATTAGATTATTTATGTGTAGTTGGGGGAAGACTAGAGAACAGAAGGACTGTTTCAAGCGACGCTTGACGCAGCTGAGGAAGTAAATGGACTGAGAAAGAGAGCGAAGGTCGTTGCAAGTGAATAGGTGTGGGTGTTGCTGACTGTTTAGCTGCAGTGCAGGGGGACAGTTGTGGTGACAGTATTAATTCCAGCTCCAAAGCTAATCCAGCTGACTTGACGTGAGAAGTTTCAGCGAGATCATTTTCATGGAAAACAAAGCTGCGTACGTTCTGGTGCGAGTGCCATGTGGGTTTCTTGAGGACCGTGAGCCCAGCTGCCAAAGGTAAAGGTGCAGAGTTGGATTTGTCGTTATAGCTACTCATGCCAACAATACTGTGGTGTAATGAAACACATTGTGCCAGAGCAAGGCAGTTCGGTGGACATTAATGCCACGTGGCCAAGGGAGCCACTTGTCCTTCGTGTTCAGCTCTGTTATCTCAGCTCTTGGGTTTCCACAGGCCTCTGGCCTTCACTCACACCTGCCCAGTGGAAGGCCAGTCTGAAGGGCACTTGGATCCTTATTAGTCTGCAGGCCCTATGACAGAGATGGGTTTTCAGCAGCACCTAACCTCAACTTTGAACAGTTTCAAAACTGGTGTTCACTCATCACTTGTTTGCAATACAATTTCAATCTGATTTGGCACCATTTTAGTGATGCACTATGCAGTTAGAAATAACAACAACAAGAAAAGAGAAAAAAAATTACACAAGCCTTTTGGCCTACCTCAAGAACACTCAAGTTAGAGCCTTGAATGTCTTGATTTGCACTTTGGCGTAGGCTTTCACCCACTCTTAATTGTTAATCGGACACATTTACACAAACATGTAGTGGCTATTCATTTTATTCGCCCAGGCAAACATTACGTAAGCCTGGTTTATAAATGCATGTGCGTTGAAAATAGCACACTTAGCCTTTGTGAGCTGAGTTGGATGTAAATTGGCAACACAGTCAGCAGCAGCAGGCAAATTTATTAATGTATAAAAACATCCGTGAAGCTTTGGGAAGAATTATTATTCACAGTTGCCCGAAATGCCTTTTTGTTATTTTGTTATTTTCTTTATTTCATTATTTTTTTTTAAACCTTCTAAGACCCTACAGTGAAAACAAATGAACACAGAGTGAGGAGGAGCTTCACTAGCCCTCAGCTTGGTTGGTGACTGCTGAACGTTTTTGAAGAGTGGATGGGTGGTGATGCTGGGATCTCCGCTGCCATGCCCCTGCAACCTTCCCCGGTCTGACACCCCGCTCTGTCTCACCCCTGATGACCACAATGTCACATTCTGACCACCGATCTTGTCCCCCAGCATCCCTCCGCCTACGTTTCCTCCCCTCTGGATCCTCCTTTTTGTTTTGGTTTTTTTGGTCTTCGCTCCTTCGCTCCCCTCCTTGATCTTTGTGGAAAGAGCTGTCTCAAGTCCAACAAAAGAAGAAAGAAATATATATAAATGTTATAAATCTATAAAGAAGGATTATAGAGATGTAAAGGTGGAAAGTGTTATTGTGAAACAGAGTTTATGCATTATGTTGCTGCAGAGGTGGAATGTACAGGAAAAGCGTGTTAATATTGTATATTTTGAATCTGAACATGTGGAGATCGAATCGACAAATCAAAGACGAGTTAACTTGCGATGCAGGCACAGCGGTGCGTGGCTTTAGAGCGGCGGCAGTTGAACGATGGATCGATTCGCGGCTGCTGAGTTTTTCACTGTCTTATTTGCAGCTGCGAGTTCTCGAACTTGTTACAGATATGCTGTTGTGAATGATAACAACACAACTGTAGGTCAGATTGCCTCGAGTAAACGGCAACACTTTGTTTTGTAGTGTATGAGGATGATTTTGCACATAATTTGAAAACTAGTTAGGTGGAGCCTTTGCTCGAGCACTGGCTATGTGTTACTGACGTTGTACCCCATAGTGAAGACTCAGCCTCTCTGCTTCATATCTTGGTGGTTTTTAAAAGACTTAGAGCTAAAGTAAAGGTTATAACATGAGGGGGGAAAGTCTTTTTAAAGATTTATTTAAGGAAAAAAAGAAGAAGTGTTAAAATCTGAAATGGCTAAAATAGTTTCCAGATTCTTGCTGTAGACAGTAAACATTTTTGTCTTGTAGGGTCCACTGACCTTACATTTTCTGATCTGTGCACCAAGAGCCCTGTTTGTTTATGGTTCGACACAAACCATTTTCACACTGCACTTAATGAGTTGCCTTTGGTGTGTGGGGGGGGGAAAAGTACCAACCTGTACTCAGTAGTTTGAATCTCTTTTTTGGCTCAGAAACAAAGCGCCAGTATGCCATTGTACCAACTTTCCCCCAGGTCTTTTTAGTGTTTTTATGCCAGAAGGGGTGTTTTTAATTTCCAGATGATGTCTGCAGAGGGCCAAACGAGTGGTGGACTTTTAGACCTTCTCTTGTGTTTACTAGAACTCCCAGGTGTTTTGCGAGGCAGTCTACCTTTAGACCTCGGTCACTCTGAACTGGATCAGTTGCACTGATTGCACAAGTGACTGACCAGATTAAAGAGTCTACTGTGATCCACCCCCCTAACTCTCAGTGTTGGGGTTGGGGGAGGAGGTGACTGCCATTGCTGAAAGTAGGTGGGAGGCAGGCTTATGTCTCTGTACAGTCTGTTTTATCAGTATTCCTTTTATCTCCTGTCATTTGGTGGATCTTGCTGTTTTATTCTCCCTGGTCCAGAGATCTGTATTAAACTGTATTAAATGTATAGATTGTGCAGAAAGCTGAATGTTGCATAGCAGAAGAGAAAAGATATTCCTTACAGATGACAAAGTAAAATGTATAAATAAAACTCAAAGGCAAAGTTTAGGGGATAAATGTAATATTTTGTTTGTAATTACTATTTTTTGTTGGAAGAGGGCTACTGGATAAAGAATCATCTGTAATAAAATAATTTTAATATTTCTTTGTCCTGTGGTGTCTTGTATGAAATGGGAAATACAGTCATGTATGGGTATGAAATGGAAAAAGTGTAACTGTTTCATTTTAAGATCTACGGAGACCCCGGTAGAGAATTTTATTCCGCTTAACGTTTCTTCCTGTTAAAAGGGAGTTTTTCCTTCCCACTCGTGTTTGCTCATAGTGGGTGGTCTGATTGTGGGGTTCTCTCTGTAGTACTGTAGGGTCTTTACCTTACAATATAAAACACATTAAGGTGACTGTTGTTGTGATTTGGCACCATATAAACGAAATGGGATTGTTTATAATTTGGATGTTTTTGTGGGATTATTGCAAAATAGACATTTGTACTATTGTACCAAAGAAAGTTCAGGGAGTTTTGCACCAACAACCACCTCCATTGTGCAGCACAAGCTTTTGATATCATTTAACAATTTGTTGCCACAAATAAATAGAAGTCATTTCAGTGGGCAGACTGTGAGAAAAGCAGAAAAACTGATTAATAATTCCCTTTTAACATGTTCGGAAGCCTGTGGTTTCACTATCCAGTCATCATTTTACCAACAAATCGTAGGAAAAGTTGACGTTTTGCAAAAAGTCATCTTACAAAAAGCCAGGAGCAGTATGGTTTTGATACTTTAGAGTAGTGCCACCGACCTGTAGCACAGAAAATCATCAGGGTTTGGAGAAGAGCAGAAACATTTCTAGCACTAGGAGCACAAACGCACACTTCTGTAAAGCAGCTGATATTCCTCAGTGTTCTCAAAGTAAGTGGATGAGAATTACAGTTCAGATTTATAAGCCAGAGGAATACGGAGCCTCTTTCGAGAGAATTTTGTTACTTGGTCACAGTAACTGCAATCACTGTGGTGATTTTCACTACTGCTGAAGTTAAACAGGTGGAAGAAATTGATGACCAATAACTCACCTGAAAATGATCACTGATTGGTTGATTAACCCCCACCACCCAACTGATGGATACTAAAGATGTTTGTGTCTTTCAGACAAATGGTGCAAAATAATAATAAGATCCTACATGTACTTTAAGCCCATCTACACCAGTCTTCATGGAAGTAAAGCACAGGAGACACAAACATATATTTTGAGGCAGTTATGTGTTTGCAGCTTACTTGCCCCCTTAAGGTCAGAGTTAATGGTTCAATAGTAAGAAAGGGACTGGGTGAAAGACTCATCTCCCATTCTCCAAAAACATGTCAGTAATCCCCCAAGACTGAGTTAAACCTTTAGACTTTTTGGAAGGTTTGTGACCAGTTAGATCTGGTGAAAACACCTGTGACAGCATTTCATAAAAAGAACATACCAGCAGTCAAACAGGGCCGAATAGGTTTAGACAATTTGTTTTCTCCCTTTAATATATGAAATCATGATTTAAAAACTGCATTTTGAATGTTTTCAGGTTATCACTGACACACATATGTCTCATGTTCTCAAGTCTTTTGATAACGAGAAATGCTTAAGTCTGACAAATATACAAAAAAATAGTCAGAAAGCGGACAAATACTTTTTCACATGATGTGACAGGAAACATGTCTTTTATTTGAAGACCAGTGTGTTTTGAAAAAATGTCAATAGGCATTAGTCAGCTAATGTCGTTAGTTCTACATTTTTTTCTTGGTTAAAAAAAAGAGTTTTCTTTTGTCTGCTTGTATTTGAAAGACTTATCTTTTATCTTCTCAATACCACAATTGGGAATAATCCATCCTCTCCCCTTCAGCGTGTGTAGGACCTCTTCCAGGTGAAATTCCCTTCTTGTGCATCCATGGCGCATTGATCAGCAGCCTGTGGTCTTGGTCTTCTCATCTCTGTGGCTTTTCTCCTACGAGCAGGAGCCATGCTCCAGCCCCTCAGCCTAGCCTGACTATTTTCTTCCATTAGACCACTCCAACTCACCCTGTTTCTCTCATCCCCACGCAGGAATTCAGCTACGACCCTAAAGTACTCCAGAACTGAGATATGACTCCAGCTTTCTCCCCCCTGCTCCTCCAGAGCAAATCCACAATGCCCTCCCCTGTCTGTCAACATCAGAAAGAAATACGGATTGCTCATAAAAAGGGGAAGGGGCAAAGTGGAGGCAGGCGGGAGGAGAGGGTCATCACTGCTGCGTACACAGAGCACAGGGACCGCCACCTCATCTGCATCTCTCAGTGGCTCGTTTCTCTCCCAGTAGCTTTCCCAGTCCTTGGCTGGGTAAGCCCTCTCACCCAGCGCCCAGGCTGCTGAAGATGCCAGGCCCCACTGGGAGTGAGATCTTGAGCTCAGTCCAGAATTTAAAGGGCTTAATTGGGGCTGAGCTGGGGAGCAGAAAAGTGCTTCCTCAAAGTCCCTGAGGGATGAAGAGCTGAGGACCCGATCCACATCCCGGACGCCTCTGAAGGAACTCGCATATCTTATAAAGAAAACCAACAAAAGAAAGATATCATATCCGTGCTTCATTTATGTCTGTGCTATAACACTTTTAATGTTCTCACCTTCTGAGCTGCTGTTTTCGGTGAAACAGTGCCCCCCAGCGGTAAATAGGAGGCATAGGCGTTTCAAACCACAGCTGGCCGAGAAGCACAGGTGAGATTGCTGCTGCTGCTGTCAGGTACGTGCTCGATCCACACTCCCCCAAATATGAAAGAAGAACCCCTGAGCCTGACCCCTCACTCACTGCAAAAAGCAAAGAGGACGGGTGGCGGCTGTGGACATAAGCCACCGCCTGATCACGAAGACATGAAAGATAGTGACACTGTGAGATCATGGTCAAAACAAAAATAAGTGACCGGTATCGATTTTACAACATCATGTCTAACTCTATGTTCGAATTAGTTTCTTGAGGGATTTGATGCAGACGTGAATATTATCCTGGGAATAAATCTTTTTTTTTTTTTTTTTTTTTTTTGTTTTACAGTTTTTAAACCCAATTTTTCTATTTTGTTTTTAGTTCTTCCTCTTTATTATTTTTATTTATATCTTTTGAAACCCACAGACCTTGGACCTTGGACACTGCAGTGACACCAGAGGGACAGAGCTGCAGATGCACCTGACGTGCATAACTTTTGAACCATATGGCCACTGGCTAAAAATGAGCTACTGTTGGAATTTTTGATTTAAAAAAAAATAATAACTAAATATTTGCACACCTACACCAAAAAATAGGGCAGGTGCTGGGCCATAAAAGAGTCAGAGCAATAAATATGCTAATTTAGTAGCAGTGTGCCAGGTGTTGGTATTTTTCACACACACAGTTGAATTTTTTTTTGCTCACATTTCTTAAATGTTCACCATATTGCATTTTCTAAAAAGTTTTTTAGACCATTTTTTCAATCTGCATCAGGCAGATGATCTTCAGAGAAAATATTGCAAAAAACCAACAAAAAAAAAACAAAAAAAAAATTTCAACTGTAACTAGAAAAAAGTTGAGATGCTTTGTAAAATTCACAAAAGCAAAAAAGGTTTGCAAATCTCATGAATGCATGTTTTCTCAGAAGGTCATACAAAAACATATGAAATGTTTAAACTGAGAAAATGTGGCTGAAGCAAAAACTTGTGTGTGGGAGACTTTCATTTGGCCTTGAAATGACTCTGGCCAATTGTCAAGTGACTCAACTGACTTGTTAATCACTGAGGGTGAGGCCACTCAGGTAGTTTAACTCTTATGTGGCCTTGCCTCTGGGGTGGACAAGGTTCAGCCTGTGTTCCTAAAAGCTACAGGGCTGAACACTCCTGAGGCCTACACCAGGGTACCAGTGAGCAGAGTACATCCAGTAGTTGAACCTGTGATTCAGAAGGAACAATCCATCTCTCACCTCTCGATTCTACTTTTTGCACATTATGTGGTTCTGTTTCAGCAGGTGGTGACCTCCAGCTTGCACCAGAGTGGAACTAAAAGAATGAGATTGTGGATAGAAACAGCAGAAATGGGCTTTCTCTGACAGATGGCTGGGCGCAGCCTTAGCGATAGGGTCAGAAGTTCAGTCATTTGGGAAGGGCTCAGAGTGGAGATGCTACTCCTCCACATCAAAAGGTGCCAGCTGAGTTTGTTTGGGCATCTAGGATACTTCTTGGATGAGGCTTTCTGGGCCTATCCTACCTGGAGATAGCCCTGGGGTAGATACACTACATGCTGAAGAGTTTATGTCTCTCGGCTTGCCTGGGAATGCCTCAGTGTTCCCAGGTGTTGAAAATGAGCTAAGTTTTAAATTGATGCATTTTCTCAGTTTAAACATTTGATGTGTTCAATTGTCTATTGTGAGTAAAATATGGGTTTATGAGATTGGCAAATTGTCACACTCAGATTTTACTTACATATTACACACTTATTCGAATTGGGGTTTTAGATTTGAAATTTTCAAATGGATTCATACCTCAAACACAAACAAGCAAAACCAAAAGCAAGCACAAATGTCCTCACAACCAACACAACTGATGTTTTTTTCGTTCTTCTTTTGCTTTCTTTTCTTTCCTTTCGTTTTTATAAATGGCACAAAAATGATGTCAGACAGCCAAGCCGTGCAAAACAAACCAGTTGAACAACCGAATGCATTGTTCTGAGGCATATGTCAAACAAGTGAAAGCATATCTCAGCCAGACTGCTTCACGTATTAAAACATGTATTCTTACTGGTCCTGGCTGTCATGCCTTTAACACGATCAGATCAAGTAAACCGTGCCGTAGCCCCTCAAAGGTATTTAGACCTACAGTTTTGTTTTTTGCTGTTTCCTATCCTGTCTGGCAGCTTTTGCAATCTCAGTTATGATCTGAATGCACTGCTGTGCCAAACCCATTTTGCTTTTTATAAATTCTCTATACGGTCCCCTTGTTTAGGAGAAAATATGGAAAGATGTAATAAAAAAGTACAAATAGTAATGCACAATATATGTCCAAGTGCCACAGCTGTAAGAAAAATAAACATACAGCACTTGGACCACAAAAAGTAGAAACAATCCACATGTACATAAATCAGCGAGCTTCTTGTGGTGTGTGTGTTTGTGTGTGTGTGTCACGAAATGTTCTTGAAAATGACCTACATTTTTAACTCAGTGTCACTTTCAGATCAGCATAACTTTATTTGTGATACCTAATAATTAAAAAAACTAATCCGAAAGAAGGAAATCTTTCCTGGAAACTAACGGAAAGTAAACTGAATTAACAGACAGACAAAAAGCTAAAATACCTTATCAACACTGATCTGAATGAAACAAACAATCATTTCCATTAAAAGAGTTAACATTTTAATCATGAGAGAAGGTGTGAATTTTCTTTGTCCAACAGTTTCTGTTTGATGAGGAAATTGTCTTTCTTTACCTGCTCGAGATCAGCTGGGTCTCCAAACTCGGTTACTCGTGCTGTGGTCAGCGGGCACCCCTCTGTGCCCCGAGGGTGAAAGACCACCACATAAAAGCCCTGACACACAGCCTGTTGGCACAGCATCTTTAAGTGGGGGGTCATCCCTCCCCAGTATTGAGGGATGAGGAGGAGGACAGGGGGTGCTGAGGTAAAGCAGCCCGGTGCCCTCACCCCTGACTGGTGCTCCTTCCTCACATCCCACTTCTTTCTTGTGGCAGCCTCACCCATCTTTGTTCCTACAGCCCAGTCCACAGCTATGATTCCCCCATCTTTCAGTAGCAGGTTGTCTCTAGTGAACTGCAACGCCTCTCCATGATGGCCCCACAGCAGGCTGGACAGTGTCTGGAGGTGGGGGTCTCCCCTCGGCCAGGTGGCCAGTCTCGGCTTGGCCAGAGAGCCACAGTGCCGGAGCAGATATTTAGCCAGCGCGGTGGGTTTGCATATGAGTCTGGATTCATCTGAGATCTGACCTGACCCTGACAAAATATCAGTCCCTGCTGATTTGACCTCTTCAGCCCTTGGACTGGTGTTCTTGTGAAGTGGCAGCCCCAGGATCAGGCAAATAATAACCCAGAGTCTCCAGCTTAAAGCCCTGACTGCCAGCCCTGTCCAACAATGCACTCTGGGCAAGCGGAGAGTTAGAGACAGCAGCAAAAGTAGCACGAATGGGAACAAAAAGAGGAAATAATCCCCTACAAATGATTCCATTTGTAAATGCAAAACAATGTATTTTAATCCAGTGTTTTCTTTAAATATCTTGACTTTTATTTCTTCAAAAACAGTTAACGGCCATCTTTCTTGTTGCTTCAGGAACCTGAAAATCCAGCCTGACACGCAATCTGTTGCTCTGTATCGTCGTTTCTTTTTTCCAATTCAGAGAGATTCAAGAGAAGTTTTCAAAGATTGCCAAAGAGAGAGAGAAAAGAGGGCCGGGGCAAATATTAGTTGTTCTGCACTTGCTTCCCCTGCTTTCTCCTCCCTCCATAAATCATTTACTACCAGCTCACGTAAAAATCAAGCAGACAGAAGCCACATAAATCTGACCCATTAACTCTTAAATGATCATAGTCTTGGACCTTATTCTGTTCCTGGAATCATTTCGACTCTATTTTTAACAATGGCTTAAATGCAAATATCAGTATATTTTTGCACTGAAGAACAGTCACTGTAAAATTTCATTCAACAGTTTTATTCTTATTAAAAATCTGTAAAGAAGTTTTAAAGTAATGTTTTATTTTCTCTCATAGTTTGAGTTTGGAGGAAGATCTATATTCTTTATTCAAAGATGAATATTGTTAGTGTTGGTTTATAATCACAGAAGATGAAATATAACTATTTTTAATTACCTGCAAAAATTGTATTTTCAGTGACTCTTGTGGTTCAAAGTGTGTAATAATTACCATTAGTATGCAGTACATTACTAGTAATTTGACTGTGACATTTTTTTAAAAAGTATACACAACTGAGGACTGACAGGTAGGACTGTTTGGGGTAGTGTACTCCTCCCGTCTAGGAAAGATAACCAGTAGTAATAAGGGGGCATTAGTCCAAGATGGCGGCCAACCGTACAAGCATTTTATTTATTTAAAAATGGATCAAACGGGCATTTCTTCTGTAAGGGGTTTCATGGTTTCAGAGTAGTTTTTAACACAACAGATGGTCGCAAATAACATTCAACTCTTTAGAAAATAAACACTGCAGTGATACTTCTAAAACCAGTCGCCCAGACCCTCTCCGTCTTTTCAACAGCTGGCTAATTGTTTGAATTTGTTCAGGATTGCAAAAGCACA